TCATGTCTCGCACATCTGTCATAAGTCATAGTTGTTGTAAATTTATAGAGAAGTTTGCTTTGTGCTACTCAAGATAAACGAAAAACGCGTTGCGTCTCTCTTAAGTGTTTCATGATGCTTTCTTCCATGTGGGTTTTTACACGCTATATACCCTGTATATGAGATTGTAATAGATATACTCAAAAAGAAGTATACTGTCTAATGAAGTAGTGGAGGGCTAACATCATCTTCCGATTTATTTTCTAGTTTTACTTAGCTTCTATCTTCGATCTATTTCTGATCTGCCTTCAATATTTCTTTAATCTATCTTCTACCTTCTATATTGTACCTTCTACATATTTTCATTCTTCTCTCTTCGAGATTTATGTATGCAGTCTGCTATTATGTGGTCTATAAACTAAATTACATGTAGTATTTTACGGATTTTCAATGTATTTTTTATCAGTTTTCTGTAATATATTTTTCTGAAGTATCTCTTCAAATGTACTTAGATAACTTAAAATATTTGTAGCTTGTCATAGCAGACAGGCAATTAAGTATGCTTTATTCTATTATCGAACAGTCCATGGGATTTTATCTCTTGAAATATATTTCCTAACCCGTCGCGACTGTAATTAAAAATTTGAAAACAAACTCTTCTATTATAACATTATAATTATCATTTAAGTGATATATGTTATGTTAAAAATAAACTTTATGAGTTTTGTGTTTAGTCTCGTGTATTAATAAATAACTGCCCAAATTCCTGGAACTCTTTAATATTTACTTATATTGCTCATCTTTATCAGCGTTGCCATACCAAAATCCCCAACCATATATGATAATCGTAGCCCCTCATTTGTCTGTATTATTATTATTATCTATAAAGTTTCTATAAAGTTTCTTCAACAATGACGTCTGTTGCTTTATCACTTTTCTCTCTGTCTGCTTGTTTATTGGGGTTTTGTTGCGACGTCATGTTCGTGTTTGAGTGTGTGTGTGGCATTATCTTATAAGATTCGTACTACAACAGTTCTTGGTTTTTGGTATGTTGTTTTATAAGACATTTTATTATTTTCGTGGGCTTAGTTAGAAACATGTGGCCAAGACGTCATCATGTGAACAGCCAACAAGCTGGCCAAAGAGGTGCGTGCTGTGATTGCCTTTTTTTCCATTCTATCGTCTCCATTTGTTGACCAAGTTTTGTGAGAAGTGAAGTGTACATAGATGATAGATCTTGGTAGGTATATGTATATACATATAGATATGGTTATATAGGTGGATAGAGATACATGTGGCTGAAGATTTATATATGTATTGTTATAGGAATACTTGTATAGGCATGACTCTATATTATATATGTGGTTCCTCTTATTTATATATAAATATATGCAGGCATATATAGATAGAGCATACATAAGGTTAGGAGTAGCTATAGTATGTATATAGCTCAATGTATGTGTTAGGCCTATTCCAGATCATGTGTGCTCTTTAAAATATCTTTGATTGTTGTAAGTTCTCTCGCCTAGTTACAGCTATCACCTGCTACACACACACACACACACACACACTTACCTTCCCTCTGTTGCAACATGGCGCTAGACTATTGTTAGCTTCTACTTTTGCTTATACGCAGACAATTTCTAGCTTTTAATGGCTTTTAATTGTGCAAGTGGCGAAGGGCCACTGTGACAGAGCCTAAACAAAAGTAATTTCACACTCGTTGATTTTCGCGCAAACAATTTTTCTTTGCACAGACAGAGGCACAGCTAAAGCACTGAACTTCCCTCGCTGACGCGCGCCCTCTCTCTTAATATATATAGATAGAGATATATATATATTATTTTTTTTTGGTTGTTGTTGCTGTCAGATATTTATTAGCCACAATTTGGCAGACCTCAAATTGGCAGCTCTCTCAACCGGTGTGTGTGTGTGTGTGTGTGACGCGTAACGCGAAATCGTAAAACGAAAATTTATTATTTATGTCAACTCTTTTGTGCTATTTGCGCTGTCAGGCCAGGCCAGCCAACCTGGCAGCCTGGCAACCTGGCCCCCACCTGGAGGTCAGCTGTGAGCTCTGCTCTGCCAACTCGCTGCAAGCTAAAGCCAAATTATGCGAGGTACAAATTCTTGTTCGCTTTTCTTTTTGGATGCCAAAGCGCATTTGTCACAATTAAGCGAAGGGACTTGCAAATTATGAGAACTGCGCGTAAAATAATAAAATATCCTTTTGCCACAGCCATTGCCAGAGCCACAGTTCAGGCGCAGCAGCCGCTGTAGCTGTGCGGAGGCTGAGACTGAGGTCCTTGCACGTTGACGTCGACGTCGACATGGCGCGCCTGGGACATCAGCCGATCCCCGATGGCACCTGAGCTGTAGCGCTCAATGGGGGCTCTCGATTTTTTGCTGGCATTGTTTTTCGACTGAACTGCAATCAGTGCAGATGGGTATATGGGTTTTGCGATAATCTATAGAGCATGGAGATGGTAATATGTGGTTGCTATATATTTAGATATATCTTAACTAAGAAAGTTGATGTAGGCTATGTGAGTTTCCCTATGGATTTTTAAGTGAAGAACTATATAAGCTACAGACTTCTAATGGGATAAAAGTATTTTCTTGTTTTCATTAACATATAGAGCATATATAGAGCTTTCGGATCATATCTGCTTACTTCGATCTATTGATTATAGCCACTGCTGAAACATTCATCTTGACTTAGGCTAGAGATCTTTATTTTGTATTGTTCACTTTGCAATTCATCCATTTTCTAAATATATCATATCATCATGATCAAATCATCAAAGATTTTCGAGCACAGATCGAGGAATAAAGGCGTTAAATCTATAAATTATTGTGCGTAACTTCTATGATAGTCTATATATATTAAAAATATTTTCTTTCTCGGATATATCACCTCCATTGTTTACGAAAAAGAAAATTCTTGGCCTTTCGATTTGCTGCAGAGCATCTACCAGTCGCCCAGACCCACCTAGAACAGTTACTTGGTTATTTTTTGGCAGCCGCAGCTATAGCTGTAGCCACGCCACGCCCCAGACCAAGCGCCCCTGGGCAGTCAGTCTATTATATGGGGGCTGTAGCCGTCAGTGGATTTTTTGAGCGTTTGCCATGAAATATGCAAAGCGCAGTTAAAAACTTTTTATTTGTATTAATCAAACAGACTTTTTACGCGGCTTCACTCGGCTTTCACAGTTTTTGACATTTTGTGGCACAACAATGGCAGCGACTGCATAATAAAATATATATACAACCGATTCATTATACACTATATACACACATATATATATATAGCATATTTATATATGTATATTTACGACAATTATCGCTTTGGGGCATTTTAAAGCCAAACTCAAGGCAACTTTCACATGACAAATTAGTTGAGCAATAAAACTTGAGTGTGCTATCAAACTAAACTAAAAATATCGCCATCAATTACAAGGGCTCTCTCTCTCTCACTCTCTCTCTCTCTTTCGCTCTGCATGTGCTTGGCTGCTGCCAACGTGCGGCATATAAAAAGGTCATAAACAACGCGAACGACAACAACTTGAACTACGTCTAGGACTACATTGACAACACATTTGCCAAAAAGGGGGCTGAACTACATCATCGTGAGGCCCCACGCACTGTCCTGTCTATGCCACCCGTTCTACACCCCAACCTCTGCCAGCCTTCACCCTTGCAGCCCCTTTGCCATTTGCAATTTGGCAACACTTTTTCGGTTACGCGGCTGTGGGCAAACGTTGAGCACTTTATATAAATTCTACAATACTTTTCTTTCTTTCCTCTACGTTTCTTTTTTTTTTATGACCCTTAAGAGTGCATTCTACATGTACTCTGAATAAATATATACATGAAGAGCGTATATATACATATATATCTGTTTATATATCGGCTTTTGATATATTCGTTTAGTTCTTCGAGTGCGCGACGCTTTATTACACATTTTTGCTAAATTACACTTTGGCCGCTAGTTTATTGCGAATAGCCCATTTGTAAGAGCAGCAACAAAGCTGTTGTTGATGCTATTGAGATACCCTGGATATGCGTGGCTGTGGGCGGGTGTGATGGAATTGCATTCTAGAGGCGTAAACAGTTTGCAACTTTGAGAAATGGAAACTGTTAGAGAAAGAGCCACGAAAATGTTTTTATATATCGGAAGAGAACAAACAGTATAACAGGAAAATAGTATTACAGGAAAGATGGGAGTTCTATTTGCCAAAAGGGACAACTGAGAGACAGGGAGAAACTAAGACGAAAGAGGGAAATCTATGAATTGGAGTCAGTTAGTCAGAGAGAGAGAGATAGAAGAGTATCGATCTATATATTGAGATAACAAACAAAATAAATTTCTTGATTACAGAGTATCTGATAGTTGAGCAGCTGCCAGGTCAACTGGCAAACATATTGACTTGTTATATTATAGTTGCGTGGCATTTTAATAAGCCAAAAGTTGAACTGGAAGTAAACCTCAAATCGATTCCGAGTTTTACTAGTTGCAAGCGTCATTAAGTGCGCGTAATTATTCAATGACTGCCAAAGAGAGCGACAGAGAGAGAGAGAGAGAGTGAGAGAGCAGTTTAAAAGGAGAGACACGCATTTGGCTAGAATGCATTTTCCATAAAAAAAAGCAGAAGGAAACGTCAGCAGCAGCAGCAGGCGGCAGACATATACCAAAAGTTATTCCAGTGATAAATGATTTGGTAGAGTTGCTAAGACATGAAGACCTGAACTCCTGAAGACCTGAGGCATTATTAAGTTGACATTTAAAATTCTATAAATCATCAAGATTTACATTTTTGTCGCATTTAGCTGCACCTGTTGGCCAGCTGAAGAGGTAGGAGGTAGGAGCACCAGCTTGACTATATACCAAATTATGTGTATATATTTACATAATGCAACAGGATTGTGACTTTTGATAGACGTACTTACACTTTCGATGCATTTGCTACGATTTCATTCGTTCATTTTTTTCGGTGTCTGTTTTCTTTTCTATTTTCCAGATGGCGAACCTATCAAACTGCCCGACAATTTGGAGAGCCTGCCAAGAGCCGACAGTTTCCCATCGCAGCGACATCGTTGGAATACAAATGAGGTCAGTTTAACATACATGAACATAGGATATATATCTATAGACACTATACTATATATAGTCTCTGTGTGTATTTGTGCCTCGATTTGCATTTGATTGCACATAAAAAATGTCGAAACTGAAAGCTGAAAAACAACAACAGCAACAACAAAAACAACTTGACTCGCACTTGACAGGCAGGATGAGCCTGCCAGTCCTGCTGGCTGGACACTTTGACAGCGCTAAGGGACACGCTTCCTTTGACTATTTTTTCGTGTTAGAGATTAATAAGACACGCCTCGACCTGATGTGGACAGCTCTGCCTGCTTGGTTTATTAGAAATAGTCGCGAATTTGTTTCTTTTTTTCTGTTTATGCGCCACAAAACTATAATACAAATAGAAATGGTTTGGCGTGCCAGGATTCGCGAGGCGGTTCCATGGCCTTTGTCCCCTGGCCAGCGCACGTACGCGCCAAAGTTTCGTTTCAGCTCTTTGTGTTTACAATAAAACTTTTGCGCTTAAAAAAGCCGAACAGTCGCCCAGGCTATGGCCATGGCTGTTGCTCTGTTTTACTTGTGAATTAAACGCAACCGCAAATATTCATTTGGACAGTTGTAAAGTTTTTGCAAGAGAGTGAAAGAGGGAGAGAGGGAGTGGGAGGGAGACAGCGGAATTGGGCAGCAGCATTCGGTAAGCGACAATTTACATACTCGCGCGACAAGTTGACTAAATTAAAAATCAAGTAAAACAATGAGAGGCTAAATTTAAGCAGAGGATAAACAAGACTTTAATGCTCTAATAAGGAAGAAGAAGAGAGAAGATCAATGAGATGGAAAGTGAAGAGAGATCATTGAAGAGAGAAGATGAATAATTAAAAGAAGAGAAAAACGTTTTTAATGAACTAAGAAAAGAAAAAATACTAGAAAGGACTAGAACATAGGGAAAAAAGAATAGAGAATAGTGAATATAATAGAGAAGGAACCATATGGAATGAGTGGATAAGATTAAACGACCAAATTAAGAAAAGAACGGACAAGAAAGAAAGAGAATCGATCAACATGTAGTAAATGAATAAACTAGAGAAGCATAAAGAACAAAACTTTAGAAAAGAAAAGGATCGGGAATACAATGCCTCAATTCCAAGACAGTACAGTATTTACCTCATAAGAGTTCTACTCTTCACATGCAGGGTATTTAAGTAGTATATCTTACCCACTCTCTCATTATAAAGTACAGGCAGATTTTTATCTACTGAGGCATAATCAGAGTATAAAGCAGACCGTGCCACAGTTTATTAATATAAAGTTTCGCCAGGGGAAGGGCGGGGCTGTGTGGCCTATGGTTGTCGCACTCCCCACACCATAAACCCTGTCCAGCAGCCACTTCCGCCTCCTCCTCCTCCTCCTTCGCCTGCTGTACTGCATCAGCATGCAAAAATTACAAAATGTAACCGTGTACGAAGCATAAATAAAATTACGTACGCTTATTTTAGTCTGCTTACAGGCCGAGCAGGGTCAGGGGCGTAGCAGGAGGCTGACCAGCAGGAGGAGCTTTGAGTGGGGTTTTTAAGGTGGTTTTCAGCATTGGGTCTGACCATTAAATGGCCTCGCTTGGGCTTTTGGCTTTAACCACACGGTTTTAATTTGTCGCCGAGACTCGCAACTCGGCCATAAAGCAGCCGAGCAATGTACCAACTTCTGGTCAAATATATGGCACATGCCACGCCCCTCTGAAAAGCGCCTCTGAGCAGAATCAAGAAACTTATACGGCTAATATGTTCATTTTGGCTAATAATAAGCAGAGCTGTAAGTAAATAGCAAAGTCTAATTGTTTTGTGTGTGTTGCAAGTGCCACGAGTTGTGACAGGAGGCGTGCGTGGCAAGGGACGGGCCATGTGTGCGTGTGTGCAGCAAATGCGCTGAGGTGCGCATAAATATTTAATGCGCATTTCGCGCAGCTACTCGAACTCGAACGTATGTGCCTAGAATTCATCATAAAACCAACAACAGCAAAAATGAGAAAGAGTTGCCCGTGGCAAGCAGCTTGTGGCTGTGGCAGAGCTTTGGGGCATGCATAAATAAGCAACGGAGCCAATGCCAAAGTCAAAGGCAATTTGGACCAAAATGCAAACGTTTGCCACTTGACAAACACGCGCCTGTGATTTCTCAACTCTCAACCTACTCGAGCTAGCAGCCGCCCAATTCGTATAGTACACTGAGAGAAAGAGGCCATGAGTTATGGAAATTGTACGTGTATTAGGCGTGTATTTCCGTCATGGGAGCTCTAAATGATTATTGAAGAAATAATAACTAAATTATAAATATTAATATTACTAATATACAAAGGACATCAAACCTTTGTTGGCTAGTGTAATTAATTCAAGAGTTTTCTATATTAGTCGCTATATTCATTCCTTTAGCTTTATCGATATCTAGTTTCAAAAACGTTTCATACACATTCCTAGTCATCGTTTCGCTCCACTTCCCCTTGCTTTTCTCTCAGTGCAGCTGCTGTGCATACAATTTTTATGACACTCGCAAATGCTGCGATTTCTGACATATGAAATTGTTGCTGCACATCGTCAATGGGCTATGTATGAGGACTATAAGGACTATGGACTACGGGCATACGAAATACGGCATGTGGAAGCATGCGAAGGCATGGACTACGGCCGTCGCCAGCTGTGCGCGCGCGAGTTGAGAGCTCAGAACTGAGAGTTTTTTTTTTGGCCAGTTGTTGACGGCGCAGATGAATGGGTTCTTCGTCTTTGAATGGGCATGAATGTGAGTGTATGGGAGTGTAGTGTTTGTGTGTGAGTGTATGGCTACTTTACATTATTCATGCAACGTCAAGGCTGGCAAAACAAATTGATAACTTTATCGGCAAAACATGCAATGAAATGCCAAATGGGCAAAAGCTCAGCAAACACACAGAGTTGCCACCCAGACCCAACTCGTTTTCGTTTGGCTCTTTGTGTGATTTGCATTTGAATGTTTTACTGTACTTAAGCGCAGCTAACTTCACATTCTTCTTCATTTCTTGAATAGACTTCGCATGCTGTCACATGTCTTACGCATATTTCATAGTCTTTATAGTCTTCCTCTTTCACTTTTTACTTCCACTTCATATTCCACGCATATTTAATTGGCAATTGGCAATTTGCAACGCGACAGAGTTTTTACCCCATTCTCTCATTCTCTTTCTTTACTTTTATTATTTATATTTCTCCCTCTCTCATCCAGATATTCTACTAAACAGTCTCATAGTCAAATGCCTTTATAGATCTCTCACTCCTTAGCTTAATTTCATCACTCTTGACTGTCATATATATCTCTCTCACTCCATCTCTCTTTCTGTTGAGTGTTTATCAACGTTTTTTATACCCTCTCTCCCTCTTTTCCTTTAATTCTTCACTCACTTCTATCACACTCTCTTCCACACACCGATTCCACTCATTCTGCTGTTCATGCCCAGGTGTCAAGTGGCGACACCTGTAAATTGTGGTCACACTTGGGCATCCTGTGGCTTCCTGCCTTTAGCTTTGGGTGTTGCTGTTGCTGCTGCTGCGGTCAAATGAAATTTCTAAAATGTTTTCCTTTGTTTTATGCGCAACAAACCGAAAGCAACAAAAAGGGACAAGGGACAAGGGGCAAGGGAAAAGAGAAACGGAAACTTTTGCCGGACAATGAGGCAGGAAATGCCGCGAGTGCTTTGGCTAGCTAAAAATTTTCCAGTAACTCGGAAATTGTTAGCACGTTCACTTAACTTGGTTAACATTCATTTGCACAGTTTATAGAAGTTCTCATTGCCGTTGCTGCTGTTGTTTTTGTTGTTGTGCTTTAAGAATCGGTAAACACACGTGACTTGCTGATTAGGCAAGCTGAAGGACGCCTCAAGTGAGGGGGGAGTAGAAAAACAAATGAGACGAAGCCGGAATACTCTATAAGATAATGGGTCAGTGGACAGCTCAAGTGGCTTTGTGGAAGTCTTTAAATAAAATATCAAAAGTGATTTGAAGGAAAAGTTAACAAAATCGTATGTTTGGTTAAGTTGGCCGTCATATCTATATAATATATATAATAGTTCATATATTTTCATAAAAACCTTTTATTAGTATATTTATAATCGCACTTCTCTAAACATATTTAATCGCTTTTTCAACAAATATTTGTTTGCTTGTTTGTTGTTACTAAAATATTTCAGGAAATCGCAGCGATTCTTATCAGCTTTGATAAACACAGCGAGTGGCAATCAAAAGAAGTCAAAACAAGGTGAGTCATGCTAAATGTTGGCCCAGATTTGTGCGAAGCGCAATATCTTCAAATCTCTTATAAATTCCCTCTTCTCTCTCTCTCTCTCTCTCTCTTTCCTTTTCTCTCTGACAGACCCAAGAGCGGCTCTCTGCTGCTCTATTCGAGAAAGAAAGTGCGCTACAGACGCGATGGCTACTGCTGGAAGAAGCGCAAGGATGGGAAGACAACCCGCGAGGATCACATGAAACTTAAAGTACAAGGCACTGAGGTAGGCTATGATCTTGTCTAATATTGGGAATCATTGAGTTCTACGAGTTCACACTGTAAATTGAAACTAGAGATACTGATTAATAGGAATAGATATATAATATTAGCATTACAATCAGTTCAGATCACAAACCAAAATCGTTGCAAACAAAAATCCGCTTAGACCTAAGTTTGTAGTTTAGTAGCATCGCTTCGATTTGAGAGGTTTTTCCTAGTGACATTTTCTTTATTAAAAACTCCCATTGACGCCTGCTGGGCAATTAGTCAATTAGCCAAAAAGTCTTAAAAACTGGACAAGACTTTGTCCAGGAACCCATAAAAGTGACTAGATAAAAAAAAAAAAAAAAGACAAATAAACGGAAGGCAAAGCTTAGGTTTAACTGCCTTAACTGCTTGAGGGTTGTTAGAAACACTTTTTTTCTTCGTTCGCTGTGAATTATGATTTTCCGGCGGAAATATAAGTATAACAGTTTCATTTCTTTTTTGTTTCTTTCTATTGTCCTTACCCTTGTACTGGGCGTTTGTTTGTCTGCTAATGAAATAAGCTTTGGCTGGGGTTAAGCGTATTTTTGTCTGACTGGGAACTCAGAATTCTTCATATGTTTAGCTGTATATATAAATGTATATAGAAGAAGAGGAAAAAACTGTTGGCAATTTCACGCCAATTTTTTCTTGTTTGTTTTAATTTTTATTTTAATACCGCTTGCAGTTGGCGAAGGTTTTTTTTGCCGAAGACAAGTAGCTGCCGCGAGATTTATGCACTTGGCAAACACACAGCAGGGGTTTTCCTTTTCGGTCTGTCCGTCCGGCTGTCCGTCTGTCCGTCTGTCTGCTTTACACGATAACTAATATTTATAAACGTGGAACACTTCTGCAAATATAGCAAAAAGACAGAAAAGAAGTCAGCGGCATATCGTTCAAAGACGACGGCCAACAAAATTTATCAGCGCCAAATAGCAAAAGAAATTGCGCAGAAAACAAAAACAAGAACAAGCATAAAGGAAGTAGAAGATGAGAAGGAAGCAGCAGCAGCAGCAGCAGTAGATAATGTTGTAGAAGTCACACAAAAAAGGGTTTGATTTTTGGCACTTGACTTTTGGCTTTTGCCTTCAGCTAAAGTCTACACTGGCGCCCCCTAGCGTGGGCGTTTGGTAATTTAATTTGAGTTGCGTCTTTTTTATGTCTTCCAATTAAATCAAGGCGCTGCGTGTAGCTCTGGCTATATAAATCAATATATAAATCTATATCACTGTCTCTATCTTTCTATCGCTATCTCTACATTTTTATGTTCTTGTTTGTGTTTCTATTTTGTTTCTGGCTAAATTGTTTTCCCAATTGCTCCACAGTGCATCTATGGTTGTTACGTACACTCGGCCATATTGCCCACATTTCATCGCAGATGTTACTGGCTATTGCAGGTAGGTAAGACAGCTTGGTTGTGGGACACACTTACTAAGCTGAACTACTTTATCTTTGTGACAACAAAAAACAGAATCCGGACATTGTTTTGGTGCATTATCTGAATGTGCCGTATCCGGATGATAATAAAATGGCTGTCATTGCGCCGAGCATAACGCTCTGGGGCGATAAGAAGGAGTGGACAAAGGAGGAGCTGGTTAGCCAACTAAAGCCTATGCGTGAGTATAACAGTTGTAGCAGTTGAGGTCTATACTGTAAAGAATTTCCATTGTATGCAGTGTCCACAGTTAATTCAGATGAAGATTCTGATTCCGGCAATGATATTGAGATATCGGTAAGTGTAAAATTGTATATAACAGTTTGTAAAACAATTTATATAACAGTTTGTATAACAGTTTGTATAACAGTTTGTTAAAAAGCTATAAAAAAAGGGGCAATACTTTTATAATAATCGGTAAAATAGGTCGTATACAAGTTATTTAGCTTTTTGTACTGGCTCTACCCTAGCAACTGTTTTTACTGCCTTCGTTACACTGTATAACAGTTTCTCAAATACAATTCTCTCCCACAGACGGCCGAAACTGTAGAGTCCATTGTATGCCAGCTGATGGAGAAGCAACGTCTCTCGCGGCAAGCCGCGTTGGTTAAGCAACTCGATTGCGGCTGCGGCGATGCCAACTGTGCGGATGGCAAGACCTGCACGCATCCCGTTATGCGACGCACGGGCGGCATATTGAAGGGCGTCTCAGAGAAGCGACCCAATGACGCCTACAGCACAGCCAACGGCACGCCCAACGTTGTGGTGGCCAGCAAGGTGAGTGGAGCGCAGCAGCAGGAAATGGGGATTTGGGGCTTAAGATTCTGTTTGCTTTACAGCTGTATTCACGTTGGTCGGAGCGACACAGGCAGCGCGATGCGACGTTGCATTTGGAGAATCCGCACGCGCAGTTCCACAATGCCACGCAGCAGCTGCCGCAAGAGTCGGCGATCAAATTTCAAATCATTCCCCAGCAGCAACAACAACAACAGCAGCAGCAGCAACAGGCCAATCACAACGAAGGCAGCTATCAGCAGCAATATCGTGGCGCCAATCAGATGCTGGCCACAAGAAACAATCTGATAATACAACAGCAGCAGCAGCAGCAACAGCAACAACAACATCAACAGCAGCAACAACAGCAGCAACAACAACAACAATATCAACAGCAGCAGCATCTGAACTTGCAGCGCTTCGTAGCTAGTCACAATCAAAGCAATCAAAGTCATAATCAACTCAACAGCAACAACAACAGCAACAGCAATACTAGCAACAGCTCAGCACATTTAAATCATCGCCTGCAAATTGCCAATACAACAATAACGGCAACAACAAGGGAGGCGGCAGCAGCAGCAGCAGCTGTAGCTGCAACAACAACAGCAGCAAATGTCATGGATACGGAACTAATTGAAAACCAAAGCCAACAGCAGCAGCAGCAGCAGCAGTTGACCGCAAATAGCAACAAACTGAGCCACAATACAAATAACAGCAGCAATAAGCAATTAACAGTAGCAGCAGCATTAGCAACAACAACAACAGCAGCAGGAGCAGCAGCAACAGCTCACACAAACAACGAATTAAATGTCATAAACAACAACAGCAATAACTTTATATACAATCAACAGCAGCAAGCCAACACTCAACAGCAGCAACATTATTATAAATTGCAACAGACACCAACCCCCAACAGCAGCTGCAGCAGCAGCGGCAGCAGCAATCAACCCCCAGTTGAGGCCATGTGTATGTCACCTGAGCATCACAGCAGCAACAGCAACAGTAGCAACAACAACAACCATCAACTTGGAGCAACAGCAGCAACGTCTTCCGCTGGCAATACTCCTTCCACATCAGCAACATCATCCACCTCCAGTTCCTTACAGTCGATTATCGATGGCAATCAGCAGCAACAAATTACAACGACAACAGCAACAACAACAACAGCAGGAGGAGCAGCAGCAACAGCAACAACAACTTGTGATAATTTAATGAGCGCCAATGCGCATGCTGAGGTAAGTTTTGACCGCAAATCAACTGCATTTATGCCTATTTATGCTGATTAAATTTAACTGACAGCTGGAGTTGGGCGGCGGCAGCAGCAACAGCAGCGAGCAACAGCAGCAGCAGCAACAACAGCAACAGCAGCAGGCGTCTAGCAACTATAGCGTCAACAATCAGGCAACTGATGCCCAAATTCTTAATGGTTGTGCCAACTACAGTGCTTCCAGTGACAACAGCAGCCAAATTAGTGACAGCAACAACAACAGCAGCAGTCGCAGTCGCAGCAGCAGCAACAGCAACAACAGCAACGACGATGAGCCCCAAGCAGAGTCAATGAGTTTCTTCAATGAGACATTGGATCTATCACATGAGGATATACAACGCACGCTCATTGCCAATATGCCCTACAACAACAACAGCAGCAATCCAACAGCAGTAGCAGCAGCAGAGGACCCAGCGACAGCAGCAGCAGCTAGCAGCAACAACAACGAAACAGCGCAACAGCAATCAGATGAACGCGAAGACGAGGATGCGGCTGATGTATTTGCCAATTTGGATGCCTTTGATATGCTGGTTGAGTTTCCCGAACTGGATCTGGATGATAAGCAGGCGTTGAATAATACAGCCGTCGAGCAGGTGCATCATCAGGCCGGTGGCTCCTACCTAGCCACGCCCCAGCCCACAAGCACGCAGCGAAAGTTGCTCAACATTTGTGACTTTAGTCCGGAATGGTCCTACACGGAGGGCGGGGTCAAGGTGCTCGTAGCAGGTCCTTGGACGAGTGATGGAGGCTGCTACACGGTGCTCTTCGATGCACAGCCTGTGCCCACGGTGCTCGTCCAGGAGGGCGTCTTGCGCTGCTACTGTCCGGCACATGAGGCAGGTTTGGTTACCTTGCAGGTGGCATGTGATGGATTCTTGGTCTCCAATGCGGCGATGTTTGAGTACAAGCTATCGCTGCTGGCAGATGCGCCATTCGATGCCAGCAGCTCCAATGACTGCCTGTATAAGTTCACGCTGCTGAACCGCTTGTCTACCATCGATGAGAAACTGCAGCTGAAGCTGGAGAATGAGCTCACCGTAAGTGCACCGACTCCTTGCCTATGAAATAGAATGTCCTCTCTCTCAACTATGATCCCTCCCTTTGCAGTTCGATCAGACTTCTCTTTTTCTTGAGCCCAACTTTGAAGAGAAACTGGTGCTCTATTGCCATCGGCTCACGAAGCACGCTTGGAGCACGCCCAGCACTGGCGCCAATTGGAGCGTTGGCCTGCGTGGCATGACCCTGCTTCATCTGGCCGCCGCCTTGGGCTATGCCAAGCTGGTGGGCGCCATGCTTAACTGGCGCGCAGAGAATCCACATATCATACTGGAAACGGAGCTGGACGCACTTAGCCAGGATGTGCATGGCTTTACGCCCTTGGCTTGGGCCTGTGTTCGTGGACATTTGGAGTGCACTCTGCTGCTCTACAAGTGGAATCAAAATGCGTTAAAGATCAAAACGCAGGCCCAGCAAACGCCGCTCGATTTGGCCAGCTTGAAGGGCCACAAGCAGCTGCTGCAGCAGCTGTGCCGGCTTGAAAAGGAACGCTGCCGCAAGCCACAGCCACGCGGCGGACTGGCCAATCTCTCCATGAATCTGGCCGTCGAGGCGGCCACTGAGGAGTCCAATTATAGTGTCTACGAGATGGAACTGCAGCGCAGACATGACGGAGTCTTCCTACGACCTGTGGCGCTTCATAGGTAAATTTGCAAACCTGAGTAGAGTTTATGCAGTTGGGTTGATTTTATACATGGGCATGCAAGGCCAAGCGATTCTAAGAATGATTTTCAAGCAGATATATCTAAATATAGACAGTTTTGAATAGCTTTCACTAGTATATACGACCACCTAAAATTTGAATCCGTTTTAATAGAATATGTAAATCTTCTCAAAATAGTTTATAGTTGCTTTACTCTCACTTCTGCTGTCATTGTTATACCCATGTTAAACCCATTGAAAAATGAGAATTCAGGGCAGTAGGAGTCCTGTCAGAACCCATAATATATATATCTCTGTTCCTGATCAGCAACAGCTCCTGGGTTGATGTAGTCTTTCTAGTCGGTATGTCCCTCAGTTTATAAGAACAAGGAAATTCTCTGCTTTAAATTCTGAATCCTCCACAAAATATATTTCTATTTTCTTCCAGCAATCAAAGTCCGCCAAATAACAGCAGTCGCTACTCGAAGCGCTCTTCCATAGATAGTGGCATCAACATGGATATGCGCAGCAAATCCGGAAAGCCATTAGCTAGAATGCACGGGTAAGCTATATCCAGCTATGCCATACCCTATACCAAAAACAATAAACATTTCTGATTTTTAGTAACTATGAGACACATGACAACTATGCTCTGGGCGTGGATTCTCCTTTGGACTCGCTGAGCGGCAACAATTGTTCCGGTCTGCTATCGCCAATGCGTAAAATGGATTTCGCTCTATGTAAGTTGAGGGCCGTCAATCGAGAGTTTAATGCTCTCTATTAGATAAACTCTTTACTGTGTGTACGATTGTATATGAATGCTATAAAAATCAAAATTCTAAACACCAGGCGAGGTATCCACGGGCGAATCGAGTCCCATACACGACAAAGACATCGATTGCGATGACAATTCGACGAGCGTGACTGACACAACTTTAAATAATGAGCTCAACGATGCGGTCGTAGGTTAGTCTGAGGAAGCTGTCTCTCTCTCTTTCTCTCTCTATGCTAACCACTTAACGTAATGTCGTAATAATGTAACGTAACAATCCAAAGGGGAAAGAAGCGCTGGCCATCATCAAATCTAATATGCATTTTGTGTATAGCTCGCTCGCTCGCTCTATCTCTATATCTGTCTCTCTTACACTCTTATATATATACATATATATTTCTCGCTGTCTGTCTCTCAATGTTGTTGTTGTTGGTTGCTGTTGCTAATTGTTGTTGTTGCATACATACATATATAGAAAAATACACAGACACATACACACACACTCACACACACATAGCTAGCTCTGAGCTCTGAGCCTCTAATATCCAAAATTAATTTATATAAATGTATCGGATGATGTTCTTGATGTTTGTTCTAGCTATGAATATGCATATGAGTGTATTCATAGAACAGTTTATGGTTTCGATGTAAATACTCTATGAGTGTCTCACACACACAGACACTGATATAACTAACTATATATATATATATATATATATATATACGTTCGGCATATGTATTTGTATTTGATTAGAACTAATCTTAAATGTGTGTTTTTGTCGATGTATAACACTAACACTATATTAAGACTATTATATTAAGACTATTACTAACACTGACACTAATACACATACACACATATACATACTCACACACATACATACACATACGCTGTATATTTATACTCAAAATGTGTTCATTCTGTAAATATGAAATGCGTGTGTGTCTGACTATTGGAAAACTAACACATGCAAACATATAAACGTGCTCATTAACGAGGGTGGCTTGAAGAATTACAAATTTCTTGGAATGTGAAAACAAAATTCAACCAAATGAAATCATGCGCATCAATTCAAGTAATCTGACCATCTTTAAGGGAACTTTATATAGTTTCAACTGTCAAATTCTCAAGCTGCCCTCGTGCAATTAACTCTGGTGCTTGTCGATGTATATTTAAACAGAAAAACAGCATTATATGTAGACTCGTTAATTGAACTGTGTAAAGCGTAGTAAATCGAACCCAAAGTATAGCTCAATTCATTTTATGTGGCCTACTTTCAGGGGATTCGGATGCAAAAGTTTTGACGCTAGCGGAGCATATTATAGCAGCCATGCCAGATAGGATCAAGGTGAGTGAGATATGGTATATATATGTATATTCTATATGCTAATGTACACCCTTCTCTTGCAGAACGAAGCACATGAAATGATGGTCTTGGGCAGCCCCTTGACGGAGCCACTCACCTCAGAGTCGTCGGCTCTGACAGATAGCTTTATGGATCCGCTGCTCGATTCGTTGCCCAATACACATTTCGATAGCGATTTTAGTTTCGATTTCCATGATCACAGCTATCGATATCATGATGTGAGCACACCTTGTTCTAGTCTGAGTCCCGCCAGTTCGGGTCCTTTGCAATCGCCGGCTAGCTATTCCATACTCGGCACAGATCCTTCGGTCAGCTCACCTAGTCCGCCGCCTTCAACAAAACAATTGACGGAGTTCCTGCACGCTTCCAGCATATCGCAATATCCCTTCGAGGCAGACTTCTCGAAGCTAACGCTCACAGACACCGAGCAGCGTGAGCTTTACGAGGCAGCCAAGTGCATACAGAAGGCATATCGTTCGTACAAGGGCCGCCAGAAGATGGAGGAGCAGAATAAGGAGCGTACCGCTGCAATCGTTATACAAAACTATTATCGTCGCTATAAGCAATACGCTTACTACAGGCAGATGACCAATGCAGCTCTAGTCATACAGCACGGCTATCGGTCGTATCGACGCAATAAGCGCTTCAAGAAGTCCCAACTGGGCACTGGCAGCGAACAGGGCAGCGTGAGCAGCAATTCCCAATGCCTGTCCAGCTTTTACGATCACTACAAACAGGATCAGCAGCAACAGCAGGAGCTCAGCTCACAGCCCAGCACGCCAAAGGAGACGAGTCCTTCGGGTCCCTTGAAGTGAGTGAAAGTTTCATTTGCGAAATAATATTCTTTTTTGTAGTATACTCATAAAGCTTCGATACATTCAAAACTGTATCTATATACATACATATATCGAATACAGATTATTATCTATAACCATATCTAATCTATATCTTTACACAGGCGTACATACTCGCAGTCGACACAAAATCAGGCGGCCAGAAAAATACAACAGTTCATGAGACAATCACGCATCAAGTAAGTTCTTATACCCTATAACCATATCCCTATTTATACCTAAGCTCTATATATAAATAAGTAAAGATTTGGGTACTAAAAATTGAATTATATATAAACATCTTGCACGCTAGCATTTGGGATAGCAACTTGACGACTTTGGTAAGATGTTAATGGGATAGCATCGATTAAGTAGTAGTCGATAGTTTATTGTATCTATAATTTTCTATTGTTCGATAGAAAAAAAAAAATAAAAATAAAAAAATTTACATGTTTTTATGTATAAATCGATTTCTAAAAGAAAATAAATATTCGATACTTTTAGTTTATCTATTTTTAATTAGCTCATTATTTATGTATCAGATTTATCTAATTGAATCTTTATTATATAAATACTAATATACTTCATTTACTTATCTATATAGACTACAGAGAGAGCGAGCCGAAAAAGAGAAGCTGGTGCACCAACGCAGGGCGGAATACCTTCAAAACTTGCAGTATCAAGGGCAACAGGAAATGGCAGTATGCCATAGTGAGAATAGGTAACTTCTAACTCGATATCAATTACAAATGTATATGTAATGTATATATATTTTATCTTACAGCAACAATAACATCAACAATCTGCAACATATGCAATCCAATCAATGAGAGAGAAGCGAAAAGAGAAGCAAAAAAATATATATGGAATAAAAACTATGTTCAATAAGAATTTATTAATAGCTTTAACAACTGAGTGAAACTTTCTACTTTCATAATTGTTTATTAAGACACGCAGCACCTCTTGTAGTGGAACTTTTCGTTTTTGACTTGATAATACTTATATATATATATACCTATATATATAAATTATATATGTAATAGCAAGATCTGCACTTTTATTCATTTGCATAACGAATTTTAATATATACACATATAAAACGATTGATTTTCTGAAACTTTGTAAAACGTAGTTTTAGTATTTTATAAAACAACAACAAAAGCAACAAAAAATCTTCGCAAAAGAGATATGTAGAGAGCTCTACTTTTCCATTTGTCAACTCAAAAGAACTTATTAACGAAGCCTTCGAAAAACTTTTTAACTCCAAGTGTAGCAAAAGAAATTTAGTCTTAAATACTTTAAAACCAAATAATAGAAATCAATATAAAACATAGATATAATTCTAAATATATACATGATATATGCTCTATGCCTAGTAGTTACATTTGTATATATATCAAATTAGGTCTAATTCGAAACCCTAAACAAGAACTTTAAACTATTTTATTGTAATTGTATTTAAATTTTGAGCTCTGCTTGTTTCTAAAACAGCGTGTAATAATATCTAAAAGCATTAATTCTCGATTTTAATCATAAATATGTATGAAAATATCTAGCTATATATATAGTATTATATATTATACTTAAAGCTCAGCTCGAAAGTCCAAATGTTGTTGTTGATTTCTAAAATCGATAGAGCAAAAACACAAAATATCACGTTAAACATTTTTTTCATTTCCTTTTTTTTCTAATTTGTAACCGTACTTTAAGATTAGGTATGCGCTATATATATATTTGTTTAACGCAAGTACTTAAATCCAAGTCTGTCAACTTTATGTGACTTTTGTAGTCTAGCAATAAAAAATTAATTATAAAATAATACAAAAATAATATCCTATGCATGCAATCGATAAATCGTACTATATACATATATATAAATAACTGTTCAATCTTTAACCGATAACATTAGGGAAAGGTCGATTTTCGCTATTCAAAACTAAATGTAACAATACAAGAATTTTTGTAAATTATTTTTGTCCGTCCACATTGTTAGCTTTCATAAACGAAAAGATATATAAATATATATATATATACAGTAATATATATACTGTATATTACTGTATATATAACAACGTTTTCTGAGCAAAACTCGTGAAACTTGACATACATACAATTTATATAGACATACCTCCAGCACGCCTCAGAAAAATGAAAAAGTAAACATTGAAAGAAATCTTGTCATATATATAATATTAAGAATTGATAGACACACACAGCCACACACATACATACACATACACACTTCAATTTCTACGACATGTGCAGAAAGAACTCATTGCATTTGGGCTGTGAGTTAATCTATATATATATATCTACTCTATCTATCCCTAGACATATTTGTTGCGGGCTTGCAGCTAGAGCCAATTCTATAGATCGATTACCAATTGTTAACTATATTGAAACTTACCAAAAAACAACTTCATTTTCCGCACCTACTCTTAAAACTTTTCAATTGCATTTCTTTCAATATATATACTATATATATAACTGAACTACTTTATGTACTTAAACGAAACTAATCTGAAATGAAGACTAATTAAAGATTTTCTCTACTTAATGACTTATAAAAATATATATAATAATAAAAATGAATTGCAATCAATTTTTAGAGCTAGAAATAAAAAACTATCTAAAGCTCTTTTGTTATGTTGTTGAAATGTAAAAAAAAAATAAGTAAATAAATAAGAACCTTTGCAATATTTGCACATATATCTATATATAAATCTAATACAAATACTACTACTACTACTACATACACACAAAACAAACACACACACATACACACTCTGTACTAAACTCTAGTAAAAAAAAAAAAAGAAAAACTTAAAGTACCTTAAGCCAATTGGCACTAAAAACTTAAAACTAATAAAAATCAATTTAATTTTAATTATGAAAAAATTGAAATGAAAAAATAAAAATATATAAAAAATCTATCCCTTAGCAATTTTAATAAGTCTATGCTAAAAAAAAATTATATATACATATTAAAATCATAAAAAAAAAATGTCCTAAATGCTAGTTTCATAGTATCCACATTACCAAAAAATAAAAAAATAAAAAACTGTTATATTGTAAAACGAAAACTCTTAACTCTTAAAAGAAAAATCTAAACTAAACTATACAACACCAATTGTTGATATTCGATTAAACATTTTTATACTTGCAACTCTAATCTAGCTAAAATTGTTTTTGGTATTCACATATCTGTTGAGAATAAATTGGAGGATTGAATTCTTATAGCTAGACTATATCCCTAAGAACTTTCAAAAAGTCTTTAAGAAAAAGCAAAATGATAATATAACTTTAATTGAAACACCAACTAAATTTATGTTTGCTTTACTCTATATATATATTTTAAATTTCGCACCAGAATTTGTAGAATTCTAAAAAATAAACAAAAGTCAAGAAGAAGCAGCAATTGTTAACAAAAACAAGAACAAATGAAAACAAAAAACTTTTATGTCACATATTAAAGTATATATATATATATACATCTACCTTATGAAATATTCAACATCAACTATATATATATATATATGTAACATTTTACAAGTATAATTAAACGTGAATTCGAGAAGAAAAATAATTGTATAATTGCTATATGCTAAAATATATATATATATATAAACTATATATATAAAACGACTTTCCAGTTTATGTAAAATTGTAATTAAATTCAATAAAGTTTAATTCAACACTTTAGTTGAACTGAATTATAGAGAATTTACTTTTTGCAAAGGGAATACGATGATAAAGAGAGTAAGTTAAGGGAGTGCTCGAAAAACTGTACCAAACTGTACTATGAGTAAATGTATTCTCTTACTCATATTCTTGAAGACAGATTCCTATGCTCTTATACACATACGCTCACACATCCATTCTGTTATAATCCCATACTGGTCTTATACTCATATACTCATAGACTTAGACTCAAACACCCACTCTAGACTCTTATGGTATAATAGTCTTCTAAACAGATATTCTTATACTCACATACATATCTTTAAGAAAAGTCAGCAACACCACCAACAAGATCAGGCACCGTTTACACATTTTTAATGGGCTCAATGCATAAAAAGTGAACTTATCAACGTCATGTGTTTCCTGTCACACCTCCCATTAAGAGCCTAGGCCCTAAGATACCCTTTTCCTAATTCTTGATAACTTAATAAAACCAATTAGTGAACAATTTGTCTGGCGCCGTTAACCCTTGGCCTATCGCTAGGGTGAAAGTCAGCAGACGAGTTAAAAGAAAAACCTTGCAACATGTCGATAAGAGCTAGATTTTTACCTGCCCTCGGCTGCAGCTGTTGCTAGAGTGTGTTTTTTACTATTCCACCTTTCCTTGTCTCAATTAACACCTGAGCATGTTTGAGCCTCTTTTTTCGTATCTGTTGGCTGCATTGCTGCCTAATTACGTAGACAATGCGAAATGCCAAATCCATTCGCAACGTCTTGTTAATATAAATCTGCTTGCTTGTAATTGGATGCTGTTTGTGCATTATATTGGACTGACGCCCAAAGCCTTCCTGTCTTGGCTCAATTTACACCTGTTTTATTGCCAATCGCTATTTAGCCTAATTTATTTTAAATACAAACAACATATCAAATGTTCTCTCGCTTCAGTTCTATCTATGACAAATGCGATTTGTTGCACTCATTTGTCATTAGAGATGGGAGCGTGAGTAAGAGAGGTGAATATGAACAGAAATTTACATCAAATAAAGCCGATTAAAAATTGATTTTAGAATGGGCTTCAAGAGGCTTCTAGATACTCTAGAATGTAGTTCTACGACTTGAGAATTTTCATAGTATAAGAGTAAGAGCATCGGAAATCATATTGAGTAATTATTTATAGACTATGATGGAAGGGAGCCTAAAAACTTGACTCACATAAGGTGGAATATTAATATTTGATGCCTAACTTTTTTTCAGAGCGATAATCTGCTTTTGTCTTACATTCTAATGACATAAATGGTTGTTTTTTGTCAAAATAAACTTTGTTCGCGTTATATAACACCTAGTTCGTGTCATGTCACGTGATCCTCTCTAGCTGCAATAGATGATGTGATTTGTTATCGTTACGTGTCCATTCCGGCCAATGCGTCTGCATTGTGCCTTTCAGATTGGATCGTTCCACTGGCTGTTGGCTGACACAGCGGAAGCGGGAAATGTGAAACCAAGCGTTGCTCTATTGAAATTCCCGTTGTTACAAACAACAACAACAACATTCATAATAATACCAGCTATATATGAAATAAAAATGTATATAAAGATTTTATTACGCCCACAATTTTTTTTTTTTTTTTTTTTTGTTATTTGAACTCCAAATTTGTTTATTAGCTGGAAATTCGGAGTTATTATTTTATTGTTTCACGCTTCTGATTTTTTTTTTAGATGCCCTGAACTCATTGGAAATAGGTGAATGGGGTATAATGTTTTGCTTAGAGTGAATGTAGCAAAGAGAGGTGGAGTTGACTCTGGTTATATATGAGCATGAGTGTATATGGGTATACAATATTTTATGAGGTTGAAACGGGTTGAAACTTCTCCACTTTGATAAATTTCCACAAACATAAAGTTTACTAAAATTTTTCTCCTAGGGTATTTCTTAGTCGGTAGCTTCAGCTCTTACTCGCTTTTTATGTGTCTAGTGGTCAAGTTGCAGCTGCTTTTATTGCAGTGAGAGTACGATTTGAATACCCATCAATTAAATAGTTCCACAAGCTGAATCTATATAACTTTTGAAATGGAGCACATATCAAAAGACTTAAGTTAAAAACTCGATTGATATGAAACTAATAATTTTCAATTTATATGAAAATGACTTGATTCTACGTCTAGAATCTATATATAGAAGAGCTTCGCTACTGATGAATATATTCAACAGCCATTCGCATAAATAAGCTTAAATTCCTCATCAAATAGCTCTTAAAGTGACTAACTAATCAAGAATCGATTGGCTGTCGTAAAAAACATCTATGCAGCTAGTTTGCCATAAAATAATTATATTGTATCTGTCGTTTTTTTTCTTTAACAATCTTAGCACATAATAAAAGTCATCGTAAATACTATTAGCAATAGACACTACAGTATGTGGGTCATCTGATGATCAATATATCAACATTAATTGAAAGCTTCACACGTGTG